TTCCGTTCCCCCCCCGCCATTTCGGGGTGCCGGGAGGGGGCTGCGCTGCTGCACCGGGCGCTGTGTGGCCCTGCCATCGCTCGAGCCCGGCCCGAGCGATGGTACAGCCGCGGGGCGGGAGGTGCTCTCACCCCGGCCGGGTGCCCTTCAGCCCTGGAACCATCTCCGCTGTGGGTGCGCGCCCTGAGTTTGTGGGATAAACTCATCACGGGGCATCCAGAGAGGGCAGAAGTAAGCTGGGGGGAAGGCATTTCTTACAGTGTAGGCGCTGGTATTTAACTAGAATGCGTGTTTGGAGGTACTGTTTTGGTGAGGTTTTGTATGTAAATGATTTTTTTTTCCCCTCTGCTGCCTGAGTCTGTGCCGTTGTGCTGGGTGTCAGTGTGCTTAAGGTTCCACTGGTACTGCCAGTCTTTTATGGGTAACAGAGGAGCTTTGTCTAGTGTTGTTGTACCCAGTTCCGTGTCCTGAGAAATTATTTCTGTGTTTTTATAACAGAACCTGTACTTTAAAGGCTGTGAACACTATCAGCATAATTGAAGCATATACCTTTTGCATTTTACCTAGCTTTTCTAGCCTTCTGTACCTGTTTAGGACCAAGGCTGAAGGAGGCAAAGACCATTCGGTCAGGATGATTGGACTGGGGACTCATGCATCCTGTTAATTGCACAGATTTTTTTAATACTGTTTCAGTGCTGGCTTTTTTTATAATAATTTATCTAATTTTTGTGAACCTGCAAGTGTTACAAAACTGTGACCCAGGTTGTTCACTTAAAGAGTGAATCACTTGAGTAGGAAATACCCAGAAGACTTCTGAAAGGACTAGGGCTCAAAAATGAAACACAGTTCCAAAATTGAGAATACCATTGTGACACTGAGTTAATTTGTGATCTGCTGGGGGTGTATCAGAAATAATGTCTGCTGATCAGCATTTCACATTGCTCATGGAAGTAGAGATGCATAGAAGATGACATATCTTGTATTGCTTCATAATACTTAAGAATTTGGAAGACACTTTTAAATGACCGAGGGACCTTGTAACTTTCTCATGTGGAATCAAAACAGTTTCATATTTGTGTTTGGAATAAACCCCTAGAACAAAGTATGGAGGACTAAAATACAGAAAGGATTGATTTTGGGTTTAGGATTCTAATCTTCTAATTTAAGATGTTCAAAGTCATTTAAACCATACTTTAAAATAGACTAAGCTGTATGTCAGCAGTTTTCTGCAATAAATTACTGTGAAGATTCTAGTATTTTTAAGCAAAAAGGCCCTGAGCTGTACACTGTATTTGCGAATGTGCTTGTGTGTAACCACATTATTGCTTTTCAGAGCCTTTTATGTACATTGAGGTCAGTGTCGAAATGTGGAACCTTGTATATGCATGTATCTTTCAAGACTGAGGCTCTGCACTTGTTAATGTTTCTGTATTAAGCCTTTTTGATAATCACAAAACGGGGGGAAAAAATCTGGTAATTTAGGCTAAGCTTTTAATACTTTTAAAGTTTTGTTTGGGTTTTTTTTGTTGTTTTTTTGTTTTTTTGTTTTTTTTTTAATATAAAGGATAAGACAAACTTCTGTATTCCAGCAAGGAGAAAGCAGTGCAGTCCGGAACAGGGGGAGCAGAAAATTAGGAATTGTAAAAAAAAAAAAAAAAAAAAAAAGCTATAATAATTTTTATATTAATCTCTCCTTTTGGTAGACTGTATATCTAAGAAAAGATGACAGATCCTTGGCAAGAATGTATGGATTATGCAGTTGCTTTAGCAAGAAAAGCTGGGGAGGTAAGCATAAACATTTATAAATAATAACATTATTTATTGAATCTGATATGTGTGTATCTTTTGAAGGAGTTGGATGTTGGATAGTCTTCTAAGAAGTATTTCGTCAAAACCAGAAATTAGGAGAATCATTCAGTGTGTTCAAGATTGGAGTCTCTTTCATGTTTACAGCTTGGTTAATTTAAGAAAACAACTTTGCGCTTTCCTTTAGACCACAGTCCAATTAAAGATTAAGGAGCGTCTTTTGTTCCTTAAATTTGCTGTAAAAAAAAACGCTTTAAAATTCTGAATCGTGGTAAACAAAGAGCATCTCTGGTTTTCCCCTTAAACTACTCCTGCCTGCCTTACTGTTTTACTGCCTGAAAGCTGTTGACAGTCTTTCTTGTGAAGAAGAAGGAAATAGCAAAAGAAATAGCACATGGTGTTCTCTTCATGAAGACTGCTTCACTTCTCTCAGTAAGAAGCGCCCCTTGCAGCGGCGGTAGTTGGCCCATCTGTGATCTAGGATGGCTCAGAACAAGGAAGAGTTTGCACATCTGGGCAGAGGCTCAGCATAAGAGTGGTGACCAAGTGTTCAGTTCTTGGTAATTCTTCTTGGTGTGTTTCGATGCTGTTGCAGCCAGACCATGTGGCATGTGTACCGATTCTGTCCCCTGGAGCTGCAGAATCTGCAGGACGTTGTCCCTGCAACGACCCCATTGAAGTCTTCCCTCAGAAAATAAGTTATAGTAAAACCATTTCGTGGGCTGTGAGGCATGGATTCTTGCTTAAGCTGATGCTGATAGTTGTCAGATCAAAAAGGCAGGGTCTGACTAAAAATAGCTGACTTAAGCTCAGTGTTAAGTGTTCTGTTCAGCTCTGGTATTTAAATTTATAAATCTAAAACTTGTCCTCACAAAATAGAGCTCAGTTTTATGTACCAGTGGCTCTTTGTGTAGTACTTGGATTGAGGTGATGTAAAAGTTTGTGCTGAGTAGGGACTGGAAACAGATACAAGGGTAAGTCCCAGCTCCTGCAGGTAAATCCGGGTTTTGTCACTGCTTGTGTTTGTGTTTTGTACGTGCAATATAGAAGATTACAGTAAAAATTATGATCAGTTTTCTTTGGAAAACTAGTATTTTTCATGCTGCTAATGGAGAAAGTTTTATTACCTTTTTTTTTCTTCTTTTGGTAACAGATAATCCGTGGAGCACTCAAAGAAGAAATATCTGTTATGACTAAAAGTTCACCAGTAGATCTAGTGACAGAAACTGATCAAAAAGTAGAAAACTTCATTATTTCCTTGATAAAAGAAAAGTATCCTTCTCACAGGTATGGCTTCTTGTCAGTACCCCTTTGATAGAAGAAGGGGAGAGGTGACTGGACGAAGAAAATGTAAAGTTTATAATTTTGCTTGGTAAAATTTCATTATGATTGGCATACTGAAAAGTTACAGAATTCTGCCTTACCCTTGATATATGAAGTATTTTAGAGTAGAAGTGGGTTGAAGGTCTATAGCAACAAAACAAGGTGTCACCAGGGTCTACTGGCAGGAGTTCAGCCTTGCTTAAGACTTACGCTGGAAGTCACTTCCAGTTGAGCCACCTGTAAATAACTTATTGGTTATTTGTGTTGGAGAATCAAAGGCAGCTCCAAGGCACCCGGAACCCAAATTTCTGGTTGCTGCTGGCCGTAGAAGCTAGCATGCCTTTGCTGGCAGTGCTGGATGGGTCCCACGGTACCGAGTGTGCCTTTGATGAGTGAGTCTCATATAGTTTGAGAACATCAAACATCCTTAAAAGAAGACAGGCTCTCCTGGTTCTGCATAACTGAAAGGCTGTCATACAAAATACTGATTTATTCTGGTTTTATTGCTCTTCCTTCTTTTTTTTTTTTTTTTCCCTTCCCCCTGCCCCTCCTCTCCCCTGAAATAAATTCATTCTTGAAGAGTGAATGGAGTGTATTTTACTTACTTTTACTTACATGGGACTTTCTGTCTCGTTTTGACATAACAGCTCAAGTTTAATACAGTTTCCTTAAAGTGGGTTTGCTAATTTTTCTTGCATTTTCTTGGAGATTTTCTTATTGTAGCTGTATGTGTGAAACATAATAAATATGCATAGAATTGGAACAACTGAAGTGATGCAAAATGTCAGGAACCTACACGAATTAGTGTAAGCACACAGACTTGTGGAATGACCTTGAAATAACAGTTTCTGTAACATTGATAAACATTTTAGAATATTTTAGTTTCTTTTTATATAATTGATACCGCATTGGACTTACTGGTGTTGAATTTCTCTTTCTAACAAATTACTTGTCCACCTAAATAAATATTCAGTGTCTCTTCTCTTTGTGAAGATCTGCTGCTTTTTGGAAATTGGCTGTTTCTTTCTGAGCAATCATCTTCATTTCCATTGTTAATCATAAAACTCCTAATCAATATTAAAGCGGTCTTATTTGTTTACTCTCAGCAGTTCTCCTCATTTTACATGTTTGTGGAGGAAAGCATGTGTTTGATGCGTGCTTTTCATAGACCGAGTAATACATGATAAATTTAACAGCATGCAAAAGGCATAGAAGAGAATTCCACCTGCTTAGACTCATCCCAATAATTTTGCTGTTGGAAACATACTTTCATGAGCAGCAAAAATTGTGAAATTTGGGTTCCTGTGGCACTGTGCCTTGTGTATCCCTTGGGCGTAGTACTGAGGTTGAGCATACACTCTGCCATCTTCTTCAGGAGGAGCTCTGGTTTGGATTTCATCCCTTTACCATGTTGCCATTTTGTAAAGTTTGTAAAACAAAACAGTTCTGACACAAACAGCTTTCTGTCATATTTGAGTTGAAAGCAGACTGTAAATTTCACACTGCAGTGGTCTAACTGGATGCAGATGACCACAAAGGCTTTTTTCAGAGATAAAAGTAGTGTTTTAGAGCACAAATACACTGAAAGCTGTAAATAGCTACAGGTATTCTGACCAAAATTTGATGGTGCTGGAAAAAATTATGGAAACTTCAGTGTTCTGAATGCTAAATCCCCATAATTGGTATTAAAAGGTAAAGTTCTTTTCCCCACGTGTTGTGCTTATCTCTGACATCATATGTTGATGCAGCTTGGTCAGATGTGGTTGATGCTTTCCAGATAAATTGTGTATTTCTCATCTTTTTACATATGATCACCGGTGCTGAGAGTGCATCTCACTTTAAGATTTTTAATTTCAAGGACAGTGTTGTAATTCAGACATTTTTAACAATTTCTTTATATCTTTTAAATGTTTGCTACTCTAGCTTCATCGGAGAAGAATCTGTGGCAGCTGGAGAGGGCAGCATTTTGACAGATAACCCCACCTGGATTATAGACCCTATTGACGGAACTACCAACTTCGTACACAGGTGCACCTTTCATTTCTTATCTTTGCAACTTCAACTGATGACCTTTTTTCTTTCTCCAGTTCCATGAAAGTAAAGGTTTTTTAATTTTTAAATTGTTTTAAAAAGATACTATGAACTCGTTAATAGTTACAGATTGGTATTTGCATTTATTCAGAGCCATTGGGCAGTTTTTGTAATCATTTTAGTATTTCTGTAGGTGTTATAATAGACTCACCCTGTAACCAAAAGCAGTTGCTCCATGAGAGGCCCGTACATATAACAGGGGTCAGCAGCCTTCGTCATGGGTGCTGGAGATGGGTGGGCAGATTTTCGCAGTAAAGCAGCAGGACTCGGGATTGGGAGTTGCAGCATCTTCAGAGAGGCAGTAACAGCTCCAAGTGCTGATTTCTAAGAAATTTCAAGTTCATTGAGATCAGGAGCCACTACCATGAAAGAAAGCAGGATGTCCCCAGTAATCACTAGTGGTATTGTGCAGCAGGATGAGGAGGGGACTTTCAGGGCAGTGCTGACTACCGGTTCCTTCTGGCTTTGGAACGTGGTGGGCTTTGGCCCCGATGAGCTTTTCTGAGCGTACTTGATTCCGGTTTTGAAGTGACGGCCGCTCTGCGTGCCTTTGCGCTTCAGTATCTGTCTGTCTTGTCACGTTGGTGGACGAAGTGGAGGTGGGGGGAGAGGTGACTTGATCCTTCTGATGAGACTGTTTTGCCCAGCTTGTTCCTTCTGAGAAAGGTCGGTAGCGTAGAAGCTTGCTTGTTTGGCTGTAAAATGACAGACCCTAAGCTTGTAACAGCTGCACTGGGGATGACAGTCCTTAAGCTGTAACAGGCTTAGTTTCAGTGGGTGGAAAAGTTTTGAAGAAATTTGTTTATCATATCTAAATGATAATCGGTGTTGTTTGGTCTGTTTTCATAGTAAATTGTGCAAGTTCCAGAAAAATAGCGTTTCTTGCATAGTCCAAGCTTCTTTTTGAAATACATATTGCATCTAACTGAACATTGTTTTTATTAAGAGTAAGCATGGTAATGAAAGAAGCATAGTGTCTTGCTATAAAATAGTGAAATGTTTTGTTTTGTAGGTTTCCATTTGTGGCAGTTTCAATTGGCTTTGTTGTAAACAAAAAGGTATACTTTTTATTACTTAATATCTAATCATCCAAAACCAAATGAATTCCTTGTTGCTAGTTACAATGAAAATCGGTATTTTCACAGTAAATAGGAAGAAAGGGAAAAAGCCCATCAAGGTATCTTTACTTTATTTTGCAGATAGAGTTTGGAATTGTGTATAGTTGTATAGAAGACAAGATGTATACTGCCAGAAAAGGGAAAGGTGCATTTTGCAATGGTCAAAAACTTCAAGTGTCAGGCCAAGAAGGTAAGCTGAACGGAGTAGCTTATTTCTAGTAATCACATTTATTTTGCAAATGAGGTGTCGGCAGTTTGAAACCTGGATGTATTCCTGTTTCTTAGCTCCTAGTTCTGTTTTGCAAAGACAGGCTTTTTTTGGCCATGGGTTGTTCAGTTTTGAGAAACAGCTTTTATGTTCTCTTTGGTGCCTATAACATGCTTGTGCACAATCAGGACTCAGCAATTGAAGATTTTATTCATTGTGTGTCTGTGCTATGGGGTTTGGTTTGTTTATTTTTAATCCCCTGTTTGTGATTGTTCGTAAGTTTGTAACAAACCTGCCAAACAATTCACCTTCTTCCAGGTGTGAACTAGTGGTTTAAATCAGTGGTTTACCCTATGTAAAGTAAAATTCACACCTGAAGGGCGACCTTTAAAGATCTGAGGACTGTTCTGATTTTTGTAGCAATAGAATTTTATTTGTGAATGACATCAATTAATGTATATGCACAGTTGAACCAGGTCATGTTTTGTTACCTGTATTTTGTTTTTTCCTGCCATTTTCCGTGTAAGAACAGATTTTTATACATTCAGTATATGTAATGTTTACATTAAAATACATTCCCTCTTACTCAGTCTTGTAAGAAAGCAATGCAGTAAACTCTGTTAGTTATGGTTATTATATAAGATGTACTGTTGGAAAAGTGAGGTTTTGTTTCTTTTCCAGACATTACAAAATCCCTTTTAGTGACAGAATTGGGATCAAATCGTGATCCGGAGACTGTAAAAATAATTCTTTCTAACATGGAAAGACTGCTCAGCATTCCTATTCATGGGTAAGATGCTTCCTAGTTTTTATATTTACTGGTACTGTTAATATTGTAAGTATGAGCATTTTTAGGAAGGATTGGGTTGCATTACATTTGTCACCTGAAATGTGAAATACAGTTTAAATGTTTTTGTCTAGTAGCTTCTGCTGAGAAACTCTTAAGCGTGTCTAACTTTTTCAAGCTGGGACATGTACGTGTAAGAACCCTAAGAATTAGCATGGAGAAGTGAAACATGTTTGGTTTCTTAGGACTAAAAAGTGTTGTATTTACTAGTTAAAAAATGAAATATGGTTTTGTGCCTTTTTTTTTCAGGAACACACAAGGAATAGAACTGGATAAACAGAAGCTGTATTACTTTTCTTACTTTCCTTTCTCTGTGGTAATGAAAATCATGGAGATTTTTATATATGTCAGAAGACAAAAGTACACTTCTCTCTTTCCTCTCAGGACTGTACAATTTTTTGAATTTGTCCAAGTAGTTGAAACTGTCCATAAACGGCTTTTATTTTGGTTACATTCCCTGCTTCCTCTTTCCACATAAGCCAAAGCCCACATTTCCTCAAACCATTTTATGTCTGAAGGTGGTTTCAGCAGACAGCTTTTTTGTAACTCAACTCTACTCATGTTTCTGATCTAAAAAGGGTTGTAGTTTTATGCCGAGTTTCTCAGCATTCTTGTTTTGACACTTAACATGTAGATTTCTTCCTACTTTCAAAAAGCCTTCTGGTGTCACTATGCTAAATTGCAAGTAGGGAATACATTTTGGGTATGTTGTCAGGTCAACTTTGGTATTTTATTTGTAAACAATAAATTGAGATTGGAGTTGATTTTAGTTGCCTCTTGCAGTAACTTAGCTGACATCAGTGATGATTTAATGTACGTTTTACTGAAGATTGAAGGAACTGCAGTCATTTGTACAAGTCACCCTTACTTACTAACTGCATCAAGATTTCCAAAAGAAACTGGAATTTGAGAGACAAGGGTTTTGATGAAGTTACCCAGATCAAATCTGTGCTGTGTGATTTATTTGTCGTGACTACTGCTGTTAGGGTTTTTTTGTGAGTCAGAGCTGCTCCTGAGCATCACCAGGGAAACTGAAGTAACTGGTTTTTCAGCATTGAGAACAGGGCACAGGCCACTCGAATTCTTGTATTGAGAAAGGAAAGTAGAATATGTGTTACTGGTTCATGGGTAGATATCTTCTGCCATATCTTTTAGGTTCAGAAGTTCTTTAAGATGTGTTTTCACTGTCAACCGAAATTGTTTAACAGAATTCATAGGTAGAAGTTCTGGGAATTTGCTATATTTGGAGAGCTCTTCAGGGTACTTAAGCAAAACTTCATTCCCAAGTTTTTAGTTGTTTCAGTGCAGCATTCCATCATGTTTTCTCTCGGTCAGTTCCCTTTGCATATGATGCTTGTGTGTTCTCTGTGCAGTGTACACAGCGACTGTGACTTTCTTACAAACTGTTCTCAGTTAAAAACCCAACTCTGTCTCTTCTAGGATTAGAGCCGTTGGTACAGCAGCTGTGAACATGTGCCTTGTGGCAACGGGTGGAGCTGATGCCTATTATGAAATGGGGATTCACTGCTGGGATATGGCAGGGGCTGGAATCATCGTTACTGAAGCAGGGGGAGTACTGCTAGATGTGTCAGGTAATGCAGGGACATGCATGGTACTCTTCTGTCCTTCTGCATAGCTAATTGGGAGTAAAACACAGCCAAAATGAGAAGGCGAAGAGGTTTTTCAGTCCTTTTTCCAAGGTACCACTGCTGAACAGAGTTCCTGTCCAGTAAATAGTCAAAGAGAGAAAGAGTCAGTTGTATGTTTTTAAGCTACAAGACAACCTTTACTCCCTTGGCTGAGCACCTGGGAGAGTGAAAAAAGACAGTAAACATGCACCGAAGAGAATTTAAACGTAGCTTGTGTGAGATACCGGTTGTGTTAAATGCATTTTTATCCTGGGGCAAAACTTGGTCCTACATAGTAATGTGTCCTTCACAGTTGATTTTGTCAAGGCTCATTTTCTTACCAACTGTTTAAAAATTTTCTCCAGATAGAAGCTAGTTACTGTGCTTGCTTTGATTTCCAGGTGGACCATTTGATCTGATGTCTCGAAGAATAATTGCAGCAAGTAGTCGAGCTATAGGAGAGAGAATAGCCAAAGCACTTCAAATAATTCCTCTGAAAAGGGATGATGCAGCTAACTGAATACCAGAACTGCACCGGAAATGTAACTGTGTAATGTTGTCCCCTACTCCATGTGGTTGTTGTTCTTCACCGTGAACCTGGTAAAAAGGTGAATAAATAGATGGTAGTCTTTCAGTTCTGGTGTGCCTGCCAAGTAGTGTTTTGGGATTGGACGAACATTCTCAGTAAGCTTTTGCTGTTAAGTATTTTATTTAACATCACGATTACATAAAGATCAATTAAAAAGAAGCAAATACATACAACTAATATTTTCAAGTTGTATACTACACTGGAAGGCATAGCAAGAGACTCTTTGATGGGTAGATAAATAAAAATCTCTAGTTCCGTAAGTGACAAAACAAAATTCACTGACTTGCATCACATTACCATATCTGCTGCTGAACCCCAAAAGATGGAGGCGTTACTGTTTGTCCAGTCTTTCTCTCTCATCTGTTGTTGTCTTCGGTATCATTGGTGTATGTATTTCTGTACCTTGTTACAGTTTTTGTAGAGGTAGTTCACACATTTACAAACTTTTTTAGTTACTCGTACTTTTGGCTCTAACTTAAAGCCTTTATTATGTAGCTGTCATTGGTTCTGTAGTCATCGTTCTACCTTTCTTATGGTAGATAAACACCATCTCTTGTTTAGCCTCTTATGTGGCCAGTGCACTTGCAAATCCATTACAGTTGCAGAAATAATAGTTATTGTGCCAGAAAATACATGCATCTCCCAGAAATAAGTTCTGAGGACACCTCCTGTCACCAAATGGACTTATTTCATCTTAGGTTAGAGTATGATTTGCATTTGACCATTGGAGTCAGCTGATACTACATCCTGTATCTTCTTGGCAGTTACAATTCCTGTTAAGTTTGCTTGGGTTTTTCCGTGGCGGAGTGTGTTTCACAGTGTAAGGAATCATTAAAATCCAAGAGAGTTTTCAGTAACTCAGCTGGAAAATGTGAGCCCAAGGTCCAGATTTTTTACCTTTTTTTTTTTTTTTTTTTTTTTTTTTTTTTTTTTTTGGTAAGTTGTGAAAGCAGAGACCAGCCAGGATTTGGTTTCTGTTGTGTTGCCGAGTGTACGGGCAAAAAGAAGATACCTATCTAAACCTAAGAGGTTTGTAAATTGAAGAAATACTAGTAACTTCATTCTTGGTGTCGGTTGCTAGCAACTTTGGAAACTGTTACTGGTTCTTTGAATTTTTGTATTTTAAGATTGTTAAAAGTATTGGCATACTGTCCAATAATTAATGCACTTTAAAAAAAACAACAAACCAACCACGTTTAACTCGGATCAGTTTTTAGCCTGATTTTTCTATGTCTAAAGTCTCCTAAAGAAAGTTGTCTCACTAGTGAGTCCAGTCAAGACACGGCAATGCTTTGGAAAACCTGACTAAACCTGACTTTTTGTACTGCTGTACCACAATTTTTATTTTGGAAAATGGTGTTCTCTGTTGTGAGGTTTCAACAGATTTGTAATTATAAACTTCAGTCTTATATATTGGTTTGTGCAGATTTTTCAGAAATATTTTAATTTGAAGTGGTATCTAATGCCAGATGATTAATGTTAATAAGATCAGCCTGCTATTTTAAAGACCTTGTCAAAAAGCCAGACTTACATTAATTTTACTTTCTAAAATACCATTGACAAGAACAGAAACTTTTTGAGCATTTCACTGCAACACTATTGCTGAAAATGATGTGGGATCATCGTTACTTCATGAGAAGTATGTCTGCTGTACCATTTCTGTGGCTTTTGTATAACCAATTCAGCATAACTTTTTTAAGCAGATTTATTTAATGGAGACATGTATAAAAATACTCGAGAAGGGAGAACACATTCAAAATAAATACGCTTTAGCAGCAGTGGCTTCAGACATGCTTCCTTTCTTAGCGCTCGTCAGAGTACAACAGTGGGCCCCCATGAGCTAGGTTTGTGGGCTTCGGACTGTCCTAGAGTTGAACGTTTTCTCTTCTTGGCCACTGATATAGGTCAGTCAAACTGTTGTGCCTTTGGGTAGGTGGGTTCCTGCGTACACCTGCAGTAGGGTTTTGGAGCGGCTCTTCCAGTGCATTCCCATGAGATCCTGGGGCATTATTCACCTCCAGCCTCGGCACTCAAACCTTGCAGATTATCTGCCCTGTGATTTGTTCTGGAGCCCGTCAGCTCGAGCATGCAGCTTTCTCACTGCTAGCTTTCCTGATAATGCTTTCTGACAGGAAAAAATTACATGAATTTCCCATCTTGGCCCTCTCACTCTGTTGGTGTTGGAGACGAGCCTAATTTTTTATTTTTTACTCTGTAAACAGGAGCTTTTATCAATTGTCTGCTTTCTTTTTCAGTCTCCCTTTCAGGGGGACCAGACCTCCCTGTCATTTGCTACTTTGCCAAGCGTTGTCTTCTCAGATGACTCTTCATCTAATACGTGGCTGCTTCTTCAGTCATGTGAAAGGACACCGAAATTTAATTATTAAGTTTAAAGGCATTTTCTTTCCAGTTCTGTGCTAGCCTGCAATTTTAGTAAATTTTTGTAGTAAGTGTTTTTTATAGTAAAACAGAGAAGTCATGATTGCTGTGTAATCAAAATGCTTTTGAGAGATTATATATGAGAGGTAGTCCCTGAGCATTCAAAAGAAAACACCCACTGTTGTTCCTCTGAAAGATGGAGTGACAGAGATAATGTTCTTAGATTTATTTTTATAATTTAAGACAAAGTTATATATTTACAAGATAGCTTTTGCTGGGCAATGAGGCAATCAGAAAGGAAAACCAGTTACCACAAATTGCACAGACAGACTGTCAAATTAAGATCATGAATATTCCATGTGAAGACATCAACAGTCTGGCAGACGGGAAGCTTTCTTACGCAGCTTCTCGGTGACCAGTGCGTGACCTCAGCTGGCAGGTTCTGCCATAGTTTGAATCTCAACTCTGAGTGAAGGACGCTCAAAACTTACAGGTGAGTGCAGAAGGGAGGAGGTCATCTTCTACAGCAACCTGCAAAGCTGTGCTGCTCCTTCAAAGCAGGGTATTCCAGTAGATTCAATCTTTCAGAGCTTTTCCCAGCTTGAAATACTGCTGAAGACAAAGTCATAAAAGGCTTCAGGCTCTTGGCCAGCCCTGCAGAAAATTCC